GGGTCCCTCCGGTGCTCCCCGCCCGCGGCCTCGCTCACGGCAGCCGCTTCTCGCTTCCCTGCAGCCGCGCCAGGACCATGTCAGCGGAGACGGCGAGCGGCCCCACGGAGGACCAGGTGGAGATCCTGGAGTACAACTTCAACAAGGTCAACAAGCACCCGGACCCCACTACGCTGTGCCTCATCGCGGCCGAGGCCGGCCTTTCGGAGGAGGAGACCCAGGTGAGTGCCGCACGTGCCCGGGGCTGGACCTGCTAGGGCGGAGGAGTCCCGGTCGCCTCCAGCCTCCCGCCTCGCGCCCTCGCCTGATCGCCGGCGGTTTAGAGCCCGGACCCTGTATCGCTGCCACCCCCGCAAGCCCAGCTCCCTGGTTCCCAAGGGCGCCCCGTCTGCCCTCTACCCTCAGCCTGCGGTGGTTGCCCCAGGTTCTGCGAAGGCACCATGGTCACCTTTATGTCCCCCGCTTTTCCACTCTCTCTCTCTCACAGCCCGGGATAAATTCTGTCCTCCCTCTGGGCTGGGAGCCGCGTCGGTCGCCTGCTCTTGTTTCGATTTCCCTGGCAGCTTGGTATCCCCTCCGGGCTGTGGCGGGAGACCTTCAGGAGCATCTATTCTCAAAGGGGATGTCACAGTTGGAAGGGACCTTAGAATTTAGCAACAAATTCAGTCCTCAGATTTGGCAAATGAGGAAACTAAGGCCCAGAGGGAGGGAGTTGTTAGGATGGCAAGGGTCCTTAAGGGTGTTTTCTTCACCACAGCATGCCCCTCTTAGCTGCAAAACTGAAATTGTACCTAGCCAGGCCAATTTGGCTCAGATTTTTTTTTTTTTTTAAATTCCCTAGTTTTAAGGTTTAGAGTCTTTTTCTGGAGTTTTTCAACAATGAAGACATTTGACATCACAGCTGGAGGGGAATTGGCAGCACATACCCCTTAAGTGCTCTGATTTTTTTTAAGAACTCTCTTATTAATCCCCCACATTGCTTAGAGAATGCAGCACTTGCCTATGTGCAATGTTGGAGTCTTTAGCTGACTTTTTTTTTTTTTTTTAATAAACCCTGTCCAAACTCTGGCTTCTGTTTTTCCTTCCATCATGAAAAGACAATTTGTTATCAGTGATAAACTACTTGGAACTGAACTAGCATTTCTTGTGGGAACCCAAAGCACTTCACACCTCTAATCTCAAAGCTAAAGCAAAGGACATTGTTACTATTCCCATTTTCTAGAGCACCAGGGACTCTGTCCTCTCCTCACCATGCTCATTTGAAGCTTAAAACCTTGTAATCCATACTCCCTAGGATCCTAGAACCAAGACCCTGGACCCAAACCCAAAATAATTTCTGCTAATTAAGCCAGAGGCATTTTGGAAAACCTGCCTATGGATAATCTTCTTCTTCACAGATCAAGTAGAAAGGCAAACATATCTGTTTCTAGGAAATGGAACAACTGTCTGATTAACCAGAACCAGAACTAAACGGGAGGTGATTTATTGTAACCCAAGTCTAACAGCTCATGTTTATTGGAACCCCCTGAGGAGGCAGCCTACTGAAGTTTGAGCATTTTAAACCCCATGCTATATTTAGGAAAGAGGAATGATTATAGAGACAGCTCATCATTTTAAGGCTGTAGGATACTGTAGGGACAGTACCAACAAGGGATGGTAACCCCTTCTCAGTGTCTGATTGTCCCATGGCAAGTTAGCATTAATCCCTTTACTTGTAAAGCCGAGTAATTATGTTGATATTTGTTGTTCACTGTTTTGTGTCTGTGTATATTGTGTGTGTATGAGAGAGAGAAAAAGAGAAAGTTAGATGGATGCTAGGCATCAAACCCAAGCCCTCAAGCATGTTAAACTTACACTCTATTCTACCACTGAACTACACCCCCAGCCCTGTGTGGATCTTTGGAATGGATAATACATGCCATGTGTTGTTCAAGGAATCCTCTAAGTATTGTTATTTATTTGCCACCATAGCATGAGGGTAGGTACTGTTAGCCTGTTAGGGTCTGTAAACAAGTCAAGATGCATTACCCGCGGACTGCGGCATTAGCCCAATTGTCTAGATAAGAGACTGAGGCTTAGAAAGGTTAAGTAACTTGCCCAAGATCACAGTTAGGGGGCAGCCAAGCTAGGACTTGAACCTGGGAAGTTTGGTTTCACATTCCAGACTCTTGACCTCTATAGGATAGAGGTAGGACGGAAACAACGGGGTGGGTAGGAGGAAAGGACTGAAAACTCATATTTCGTTCTGAAAAAAAAAAAAAATTCCATGCATTAAACAATGATCACTCCAGGCCATAGTCAACCGTTCCTCGAGAGCTACCTGATATTAGAGAATTAAAACTAAATTGGGGTAGGCACAGAAAGAAAGGCACCTGCTTCTTTCTGTGGTTGAGGTCTGCAGCACAGACACCTACACATCAGATCCACCTGCCCCTCTCAGGCAGCCCTCCCTCCATTCCCTCTCTTCTGCCATCCTCAAATAAACAAATGGTAGACCCAGCCCTGACAGCAGTGGGTGTGGGTGAGTCAGCCTCATAGCAGGGGCCCCTTGGCTTCCTCTTCCTGCCATGGGGCCAACACCTTCTTCCTCCCTGCGGCTACCACAGCTCAGCCTGCCTCTGTCTTCCTGCCTAGACCTGCAGGGAGGCATCTGGAACACAGAGCTTCAAAGAGAAACAGCTTAGCAAGTTTCAGGAAAGAAGACCCCTAGGTTCCTCGGACAGCCTGTCCTTGGTCACTTCTTACTAGACTGGGTCTCATCTCCCCAATCTTTCTGCCCCCCACTCCTGCCATCTTCATCTGTACTAGGAGATGGGAATGGTTCTCTAATCTCTTCAAACAACTTATACATTTTTTTAAAAAGTGTCTTCTACAAAAAAGAAAAGCATCTTTTGGAGATATAGTGTCCAATGATGAACTTTCAGGCATTCATGAAATCATTTTTATTTGTAGCAGTTCTTTTGGGGACCTTGGAATAGCTCCATGGGGGCCAAGGCCCGCTGGGCCCACATATAAGCAGGATCTGTATCAACACATCCCTGTCTCTGTTCTTCACCAGTGTGGCTCTTTTCACACAGCAAGGTTCAAAGCCAAAATAATATTCATCACATAGACCCGAATCTTCACCCTACCCTAACACCAGCCACCTCCAGATAGCATCACACTTAATTTTCCTACAACAAATAATACTTTACAACAAGAAAAATAAGCATGAGGTATTCATATGAGGCAGTTCCTGCAACGACTCACTACTGATGATTTGACAGGGGCAAGAGGAGCCAAAAGGTAGACACATTCTCTGACTGGGGGGTGGGGGTTGTGGACCTCTTTTTTTTCCTCCAACCCTCCTTACATCAGTTGAGTAATGTACTGACATCCTAACAAGTTTGAGGAAGACACATCTCTCATGATGGCGTGAAAAAACCTAGTCATTACACTTATGAACCAACCACAAAAGAATCTGCAGCTCTCTTTATAGCTATCCCACTGTAGGACAAAACTCTCTGCTATGGGGGGGTGGGCAGGCAGATATTCAGAGTGACATGAAGGATGCTCTAATTTTTTTAAGTTGTATTAGGGTCCTAGAATGATTTTTCCCTCTCTAGATAGTAACCTAAACATCACCTACATTTAAGTTAGTTGAACCCATTTAGAATGCTTCTTTTTATCATTTTGAAGTCAGTGTTAGAAGGGGCTGGGAAAGCTCTTTCATCAGCCCTTTGGGAGCCTAGGATGATCTAGTGTTCTCTATTTTACAAACACACACACACACACACACACACACAATTGAAGTGCAGTGTAGTTGGCATTGGTTCTTGGAGAAGTTTCCAGTATTTTTTTTTTTATCTCCTCTTGATGTTTTGGGCTTGTTCCCAGAACCCAGTGGTTTTTAGTTGTTGGATGTTTTATCTGTGGAATAAAGACCTCTAAAGGTCTCCCCGTGAAAAGAATGAAATGTTAGTTGCTAGAGAAAAGGATACGAACAATGTTATTTTGCACTAACTCCTCCCATCCCAGTGTCTCATTATCATCTGTTCAATCAGAGTAAATAAATCTCCATCAGAGGGTGAGGGTAATGAGGGCACGCATTTATAAGCAAGCTAGGGATGAATATCTTTCCCAGGGGATGACAGAAACAAACGGAGGGAAGGACAAAGCCAGGTGGAAAATCAGCATAGATGTAACTGAGACATATAAGATTCCACTGTGTTGGGGGGTGGCGCAAGTGAGGGATTTAATGGTTTTTGTTGGATAGCAACTGGTTTGTTAAATTATTATGTATGTATTTGATTTAAAAAAATATATATATATATATTTTTTTATATAAAAATATATATATATATATATATATATTTGGAAAAAAGTTGAGCTTTTCTGGCACCTACTCCCATCCCCCAGTGCTAGAACTCAACTGGTTAAACATTTGGATGCCAACTTGCAAATTCGCAAACGTGTTCCAGGCTGAAGCAATTTTCGGTAATGCCATCAATATTCTACCTCACTCCATAGTGTAAAGATGTGGGTGGTTCTTTTGAATGGGGCCAGCTCAACCATTTTGTCTTAAATGAGTTCTGATAGAAAGTGAGATTTTCCTCCTCTAGGTTTTAATTAGTCAGTCTTTAAAATGCTGTCATTTATTGGGCTCTGGTCACTGGAAATCCTATTTAATCAGCACTTGAGGCCTCGAAACCCCCACAGGGCTACCTCATTAAGGAAGCTGGTGTCACACTGTGCTCAGGCCAGAACCCAGAGTTAGCTGAACACACATATGGATTCTAGAAGAAAATGTGCCCAACTTTCACAGAACTTGGGTTGAAGCCACCAAAGTTATGGGAGCTTTCTCTTCTCAAAGATTAGTGATCCCCAGGAGTAAAATATGGCATCCAGAGAGCAACCCCCAAAGAAAGGGCTTCCCTTCCCATCTTGCTGGCCTCTGCTCTGGCTTTAGATTCCTTTTCTCTGCTGCCACCCCCCAGTATAAAGGAGGATAGACAACTGACCTTGACAGCTGTGTGTGGCCGTGAGGTACACCTCTGCTGTACCAATCGGGGCGTTGTGGTGTGGCCCTGTGATGTTCATCCAGCCTAGCACTGACACGGAGCCCCAAGCCATCCTCGAGCCTCACACCCTTTCTAGCGCCACAGCCTGTCCTCCAGCACTTGTCCTTACAGGCACTTCTGCTCCTGTGCTTTTCCCACTTTCTTCTGATCTTGAGCTGACACTAAAACTCCCTTTCAGATCTCTAGATCTCTACAGAGATGAGATCTTCCCCAGTATGGCCCTAGAGCCTGGCCCACTATTCTGAGGTTGAAACTGCATCTGAGCAGCCATCAGGTCATGCTAAGCATGGAGCCACTCTAGATGCTTCCCTCTGCACCGCCTCCATCAGCACATCCCAGGTCTGGTGTCTCAGAGCTGGGCTGTTTCTGTTGTTTCCTTTCTGTCCCCTCATTCCCTTGCCCCTAGAAGGAGTGAGTTTCAGAAAGCTCAGAAGGGAGAGTAGAGACATCCCCCACCACCAAGCTTACTTCATTTATAGAAGAGCTGAGTGATGCTCTATTTTTAGGGACTTTTTTTCAAGTTTTCATAACTAATAGTTACAATATAGCTTTCTGGTGGAAGGGCCCAGTGCTGCAGAGCCCTGGGCCACCTCCCCAAGCAGCTTGCCTGTTTACACTGAGTGACAGGCACTACCATCATTTCCAATGTGTACCAGGACATGTGAGCCGCTGGGAAGCACAGAGGTGGACAGAGCTTGGGGATCCCGACTTCCTTGTCAAGCTAACCTGTTCTCTCTGGTGGGGATCAAGCTTGCTGCTCTGTTTCCTCACTACTCCCTCTTCAAAGTTTTGTTTGTTTGGGGGTTTTGTTTGTTTTGTTTGGGGTTTTTTGTTTGTTTGTTTTGTTGGGGGGGGGGGTTTCTTGGCAGTACTAGGGATGGAACCCAGGGATTCATGCATGCTAGGCAAGGGCTCTACCACTGAGCTATACTCCCAACCCTTTTTACTTTTTATTTGAGATAGGATCTCACTAAATTTGAGGCTGGCCTCAAACTTACAATCCTCCTGCGTCAGCCCTGAGTATCTGGGATTACAGACATGAACCACCACACCCTACCAATTTGTTTTCTTAAATCCCAACTTCTTAAATCCTGATCAACCTGGTCCAGACCCCAGCCCTATTCCCAACATGCTTCTCCTGAACTCTCACCCACTCCATAGCATAACAAAGACAGCCAGGGACTAGGAGAGTAACATACTGCATTATCACAACACATCAAAATGTTTTAGTCTTCCTATGGTACCAGGTCTAGAAGCATGCCATCGGGGAGATTCCCCAAATTATGGCCACTTCTTTTTTTGAGGCAGTACTGGGGATTGAACTCAGGGGCACTCAATCACTGAGCCACATCCCCAGCCCTATTTTGTATTTTCTTTAGAGACACTGAGTTGCTTAGTGCCTCGCTTTTGCTGAGGCTGGCTTTGAACTCACAATCCTCCTGCCTTGGCCTCCTGAGCTGCTGGGTTGCAGATCTGTGCCACCTCGCCCGGCACATGATCACTATGAGATGTGACTACGTGAGTCATACAGAGCTGGAAGATTCTAATAAACTTAGGTCCTCTCCATCTTCTCTCACTGCTCAGTGGCCCTGGAGCAGGAGAGAGGGGGATGGCCCACTCCACAGATCCCTGAGTGCTGCCAGGTTATCTAGTGCTCAGTTACCATTCATTTTATTCATCAAATTCTTACTAATTAGCTGTCAATGAGCAAATCCCACAGTAGATCAGCCATAGAGATCTATCTGAGCATCAAGCAATGTCTTTAATTCCTTTTATTCATTCAACAAATATTGATTAATCTCTAACTCTTGATGCAATGGTGATGATATGAAAACAGTTTCTGTTTCTAGAAGGATGGATAGATTTTTTAAAAAGTGAATAGTCCAGGAACTGTGGCATACAATCATAATCTCAGTGACTCAGGAGGCCAAGGCAGGAGGATGGCAAGTTCAAAGTCAGCTTCAGCAACTTGTGAGAACCCTGTCTCAAAATAAAAATAAAAAGAGCTGGGGATGTAATTCAATGGTAGAATACTCCACTGGTTCACTTCTGAGTACCAAAAACAAAACAAAAAGAAAAGTGAATGCATAAGCAAATAATTTTTTTAAATATATTAAAAGTTCTAAGAAGGCAACAAGGTACTAAAAGCTATAAGGAGAACCTACTTTTGATAAGAGTGGTCAGGAAGACTTCATCAAGACGGTTCTATTCAAGCTGAAAACTGTAGATCACAGAAAGACCCTCAGATAAAGAATATAGCCCATTCTAAGCATAGGAAATGACTGTGCAAATGTCCTGAGACAGAAAAGTTGGGTGAAATGTGAGAAACGTTTCACCATGAACCCATCCCTTGCTTCCCTCCTTCCCAACTGGGCCACAGAGGCTATGTTTTAGAAAGTAAACAGGCATTTCAGTTTCTCAGTATGTGACAGATAATCTTGCCCACTTCTCTCTTCCAGAAATGGTTTAAACAGCGCCTGGCCCAGTGGCGGCAGTCGGAAGGCCTGCCCTCAGAGTGCAGATCTGTCACAGACTAAGGAGGCCCCGCACCAGCAGCTCCCCTCCGTGAGGTCCGTCTGCTGATTCTCCTCAACTTCACCACGCCGATTCAACTTTTCAGTGTAATGATGTATGTTCCATTGTTAGCTGTCCTGGATTTAACACAGTGTTGTGTTTTTTTTAGCTGTATATAACTAGAAAATAACAACCGGAAGCTAACCTCAACTTCCATATAAAGCAGTGGCTTGGCTGGGAACTCAGTGTGGCTTGGTTTCCCTCTGGGTTGGAATGACAGATGGTGTGAAAGCCATCTAAGTTTGCTTTGGACCCACACCTCCCAATGACAATTTGCTTTTACCATCCATTTCAAAACAAGCAAGGCCTCTGTTGAAAAGATAACATGATGGAGCAGGGAAGGCATTTCCTTCTGAATCTCCTTACCTAAGTTTTTCTCCTTATGTTTCATTTTGATACATTTTTGGTTGGGTGAGAATACAGAGGTGTATTTGAGTCATTCAGATTTTATAAAACAATTCCTTGGCATATAGCTGCATTAATTGGGAAAGAACCCCGATGGATTAGAAGAGACGTCAACCAAAATGCAACTCCAGAGATTCAAAAAGTCTTGAATTTACCTTATTTAATGCATTTGTTAAATTTATTTTGCTAAATAAAATGAACTGCTTTTTGTCTCCGAAATGGTATTCTAAATAAAACCTTAACTTTTTGTTGAAAATGCATTGAGTCCTTTACACATTTTTTTAACCTAATAAGAAACATATCAAAGAGAAACAGAACAGTTCTTCCTAGGAACTGAGAGTTGTCATTTTCCAAATCCTTGCTTTTCCAAGTGTGGTCCAAGACCAGTCATTAGCATTAGCAGTGAAGCCTGGTAGTGGGAGACTCCCAGAATCTCAGACCCCAATCCAGACTTATGGAATCAGATTCTACATTCCTACTGAGGTCCCCAAATGCTTTTAATGCATAGGAAACTTTGAGCAGCACTGTTTCAAAGGACACTACCCGTCAGTTTACATCAATTCACATCCATTTGCTAAGGTAGCTCATAAATGTCTTAATGGTCTCTCAGTTAAGATGGTGTCAGATTGCATAGAATAGTAACTTGGTAACAGATGAACCAAATAGACAAAGGTGGGTAATCCTGGGCTATTCAAGTAGTTCCCTAATGCTGTTAAGGATTTAGGGTCCCTCTGTATTCTCAACTTTGCTATCTTTAGCACTTGGCTCCAGAGACAGGAGACAATTCTGGGACTGAATCTGCATTTCAATGGTAGTGGGGGAGGTGGGAGGGAGGCAGCTAGAGCAAGTGCTCAAGCCAAAGGCAAATGCCAGCTCAGACTTTCCTTTTAAAAAGGTTTGCACATGGGGCTGAGGCTGTGGCTCAGTGGTAGAGCTCTTGTCTAGCACATGTGAGGTGCTGGGTTCACAGCATAAAAATAAATAAATACAATAAAGGTATTGTGTCCAACTACAACTAAAAATAATTTAAAAAAATATATTAAATAAAGGTATTGTATCCATCTACAACTTGAAAAAATATTTTTAAAAAAGGTTTACGCACACATGCCAGGCAAGGTGGTGTAGGCCTATAATCCCAGCGGCTCAAGAGGCTGAGGCAGGAGGATCACGAGTTCAAAGCCAGCCTCAGCAAAAGAGAGGCACTAAGCAATTCAGACCCTGTCTCTAAATAAAATACAAAAAAAAAGGGGGGGGGGGTCACACACACACACACACACACACACACACACACACACTGCCTGGAAGTCCCCACTAGCAGCTTTCATCTACATCTCACTGGCCAGAATGGGTCACAAGGCCAACACTAAGTGAATCTGGGAATCTGGGAAAGTGTCCATTTGTGATTGGGCATGGGGTACAGTTGCTAAGAAGGAAAGCCTGGAGGGTGTAGCTGGGTGATAGGGTGCTTGCATACTGGGTTTAACCCCAGCACTGCAAAAACCAACCAACCAAAAAAAAAAAGCAAAAAGGAAAGAGCCAGGCATGTTGGAACACATTTGTAATCCCAGCAATTTGGGAGGCTGAAGCAGGAGGATTGCAAACTTGAGGCAAGGCTGGGCAACTTAACAACACTCTGTCTCAAAATTAAAAAATTAAAAAGGCTGGGATGTGCTCAGTGATTCAAGTGCACCAGCAACCAGCATTTGATCCCTAGTAAAACACACACACACACACACACACACACACACGGAAAGGATGGATATTGGAAAGGCCACTAATAATATCTATCAATGCAGCCAGGAATGATGCTGGTGAACACTTCTGAACTCTTACCTACAATTCCAGCTCAGTTTTCCAGTTCTTTAAAATAAAGAGCCCAAGAGTAAAAACACTAACGATTGTTCTGAATACAACTGTTTACAAGATCCTGTTAAACATCCTTGGCAAGCTTCCTCTCCCCCACCTTAAAACATTTCTTCTGTAAACAAATAGTGAGCCAGGGCTTGAACAGAATAGCCTCATCTTGGCATCCTCCCCTCAACCTAATTAGTGATGGTCTAAGCATCTGCCAGCCACAGGGTTGGATGCTGACTTTTTTTCTGGAAAAAAAGAAGGGTGAAGGCAGGGTTTGTAATATGCAGCCTTTATTGTGTTGAGGCATATTCCTTGTAGGGATGAGGCGGAAGTATGTCTATATATTAACACTTGATCATAGAGAGCATTTTTAAACTTTTCTAAGCATTCTCACAGATACTGGATACACATTGAGAGGACCGTGGGCCAGTGACACAGAGCAAAGATCTGCTCATACAGTAATGAGAGAGAGAAGCTGAACCAGGTCTAAGACCTAG